GGATGGTAAACAAGCCTAGGCCTATATAAATTGCCTTCGGGAGATGGAGTTTTTGAGTGTTTTGTAAAAATAAAAAATTTAAAAAAATTCAGGTCGGGGGCTTTTCTGACGGTCGGGCGGGGATGCTAACCAATTGTTTTATTTTACGTGGCCTAATAACATGGAAGTACAGTTAACACTTGATGAAAGATTTCAAGACAAGAAGGTCCATTCAAGTCCAAGAAGACAGGACTTTCTTGAATATAAACAAATTCTACTTGAGGAAAACCAAACAGCACTCCATAGAATTAATTATGGCGTCCCATACCTCACGTGAGACTCGTCGCACTCGAAATTGCGAAAGAAACCAGTATCATCCAGGAAGTGTGTTTTTCTGATCATCATTCATTAATAATTAATAACTTTTATAATTTGTAATGATGGGCCTGAACAAATTCATAAGTGGAACCGATTTTCCATTTGTGTTTGACGTGGTAGTCTAAAAAAGGGGGGCCTAAATGTTCACAAAACTACTAGAATAGAGTCGGTCGTCTACACACTAAAAAAGTTGAAAATAGACCCAAGCGTCCACAATAGTTCAAAATAAACCAATCATCCATTATAGGCCCAATCGTCTGTTTCGGTGAAGTAGGCTTAGGCCTAGGCTTCAAGTAATTGGCCTAGGCCTAACCTTAAAGATAAACACTGACTTAATTTGTCTCTACCAACTATTAAAGTATACCTGTTAGTTTGATGATACAAGTTGTCCATGTTTGTTAGCTTTCTTTGCAGGTGGTTCACCTCAAATAAAAACAAGATGCTTCCACATCATCGTTTGACATCGCCACATAATGCGCACGAAAATGGCTATTCGCAAGGCTACGTGTAAATTCATGGTTTCGTAACATAACATAAATAATGCACAGTTTATTTCAATTAGGCTACGGTCGGTGACTCTGCATACAATACCAGGGGCCAGATTTATGGGAAAGGGACCGAGCAGGCCCCTGTCCCTATCAGAAAGTCAAAAAAAGGGAAAAAAGAAAAAGGAATTATTGATCGCCCAAAACGCCTCATCTCAGATATTCTGAGGTGTCGGTCTGTAGGCCTATGGTAGGCCTATTTGTTGTCTCTCGGCGATCGGTCCCGGGGACAATTTGAAATTAAAACGAGCAAACAGTTTATTCCTTTTAATTTTACACATACGGTAAAACTTTAAGATTGCCGAAATTTTAAGATCTTTTTTGTAGTAAAACGCATGTTGCAAAGTGATGAAAATTAAATTAGGTTTTTTTGTTTTTGTTTTTGTTTTAGGCCTAAATTAAAGAAGCAATGTCTATAAATTTATTTAGGTTTTAAATTCAGATTTCAGCACCGAGAGAAACACTTTATTGTTATCATCTTCATCCGTTGACGTTACAGTAGGCCTATACCGTTATAATTATCATTTAATGTCCTCATAAGATCACATTTCATTATTAATTTTAACCATCAATTAATGCAAAAGTCAAAGCACATGTGTTGCCTAAGCACGACTGACCGCAAAAAATCTCTAAGAACCGGCCCTGATTTCTAAAATGACACTTGTTTGCCCAATCATTATCAGAATCAACATCGTCAGAGCATAATCATCATCAACATCGTCATCATCAACTTCTTCAGGGGCGGATTTAAGGGGTGCAGAGGGCAGTCCCCATCCCCTTTTTTTTGCAACAAAGGGAAAAAAAGAGAAAGAGAGAAAAGGAAATAATTGATCGCCCAAAACGCCTCAAAGGTTATATTCGGGTGTCTAGCTAGAAAACAAAAAAAATCCGCACCCCCTAGGCTAGTGTTTTCTCGATCGGCCCCACTTTCGGAACTCCCCCTCCTCCTCCCCCACCCTTTTGGACATCTCTTGATCCGCCCCTGTTCTTCATCATCACCACCATCATGACATCATCATCATCATTACCAATACTTATTATCATCAATCATCATCACCATCAACATCAATCATCACCATCATTTGTGTAGAGCCAAATATTTATTTATTTATTTATTATTCTTTATCATGTCTGGAAAGATCACAAAGATGAAAATGGATGACATTTTGGGCGATCAATAATTCCTTTTTCTCTTTTCCTTTTTTTTTTACTCTCTGACAGGGGGAAGGGGCCCTGCTCGGCCTCTTTCCCATAAATCCGGCCCCTGGTATTGTATGCAGGGCCACCGACCGTAGCCTAATTGAAATAAACTGTGCATTATTTATGTTATGTTACGAAACCATGAATTTACACGTAGCCTTGCGAATAGCCATTTTGGATAAAAATGTACGACGGACGATTTATGTGACGCGTTGACTTACTGCCAGAGCTTCCAACGCGTTTCACAGCAGCCAAAAGTGCACTATGCGTTACACATGAGAGCCGGTGGCGTCGCGAGCCGGTGAGTAGTGTAGGCCTTAGATGCTAAATTTTAGAGAATAAAATCAGGTCAACGATGATGCAAACAAGTAAGGATTAATTTCTTGGCCATATACTACATAGATTATACATCTAACATTATAGAAAAGTAGCTTCCATGTGTATATAATCCATTTCAAGCCTAAAGCCCCATGCCCGTGCTAGGCCTAAATCTGGCTTGGCTACGGCTGGTTAGAAACCAATCAGGTTGACCAAAACATCCATTTAATAGTCACTTCGTACCATATTGAGTCGTCCAAAAATGGCAACAGAAAGTTCAGAAGAAGAAAAGATAGTGAATTCCTTTATATATTTGGACTTAATTATATCTAGTATAGGCACCATGTCTAGAATTGGTAACAGTATTTATTGAAAAGGGTTTTTGTGGGGCGTTTATTCAATGGAGGCTTTTTTTTTATTTTTTTGGTGTAAAATAGATACGTATTATAGTTATACTTCAATAAATGCCCCATTTTCGCATGTAATTTTCTTCAATTCAAAATGTGTTATTGTGTGACTGGGGCGTTTATTCAATGGAGGCTTTTTTTTAAATTTTTTTGGTGTAAAATAGATACGTATTATAGTTATACTTCAATAAATGCGCCATTTTCGCATGTAATTTTCTTCAATTCAAAATGTGTTATTGTGTGACCATTAAAAAAATCATCCCAACCAGGTTAGAAAAATGATCCCAACCAGGTTAGAAAAATGTAACTCTACTGGAGTAGAACAATAAATGTGTTTTTTGGGTGGGGGGGGGGGCGTTTATTTTAAGAAAAATTAAATGCCTTGGGCGTTAAAGGTGGCGTTTTATCCAAATGAGGCTCTAGAGGTGGCGTTTATTCAAATAAATACGGTATATACATGTATTTTTTCCAAACTCAAAACCATACATACAACAGTATTATACAGTACTTGGTTCTTGGTGAACTGGCTGAAATCAGCTGAACTGGATGATTGTGTAGTGTGATGTCTGTAGCCGGTCAGACAAAATTAATAAAGTGCTTGAAATTGAAAATCAGTAAAACTGAAGGTGCACTATGTACACCATCAATTATTTTTAGAAATTTATCATAAATAGGTCTTTATAGTCAGGTTTTTTAAACCTTAAAAATACTATCCCCTATCAAATATGCCATTTGATAATAATTTATAATGACAATTGTATTTTTTATGTTTCTGATTAAATTTATTATGGTAAGCACTGCACCCTTCTCAAAACTATGATCAATACACCTGAAAGTGGGGCATGGTCTGTCCCTATAAAGCACCAGATTTTTTCTTATATTTTTTATTTTATTTGCTCCCTGGCTCCCCTGATTATTCTTTGTTTGTGAATTTCTGATTTTTTGTATTTGTAATATTTTACATTGTTAATTGTTTTGCCAGAATGAATAAAATAAAATAAAAATTCATCTTACTTTTTTTAGTAATTGACATTCAATGGTTTTTTTTTTTTGTTTTTTTTTATGACAGCTGGTGTAAGATCATTTACGAGCCAATCAGAAATGAGAGTATGACAAAACAACCAGTGCAATACATCATTTTTTTTTTCATTGCAGGCCCATTATTTTTCCTCCTTCGACGGAGTATTCATTTAGGAGGAATCACTAAGTCGGCCGCGAAAACCGATTTAGCTAAGCTTCGAAAGAAAACTGGTTTCACATTTCTGAATTGTAAAAAAGCTTTAAAGGAATTTAACAATGACATAGTAAAAGTAAGGTTATCGTTTTTTTTTATGTGGAATGGGGGAGAAGTGGATTTTATGATGTTGCTGCAGCATCTTGTCATAAATTATCTCATAAAATCCCTGATGAAATTAGTTCCAATAGAGTAAGTAATTTGAATGTGCTATATTACTGTACACAATTAATTGAACACAACAACCTACTTGAACACAATCCAAGGATCTTGCAATTCGAAGACGAGTGACCAAGCCAATAACTTTTCATTTGTTACAGTAAACTAAAAATGCATTCAATGTTTTTTTTTTTTTTTTTTTTTTTTTAAATAAATTTTTTTTTTTTTTTATGACAGCTGGTGTAAGATCATTTACAAGCCAATCAGAAAAGAGAGTATGACAAAACAACCAGTGCAATACATCATTTTTTTTTTCATTGCAGGCCCATTATTTTTCCTCCTTCGACGGAGTATTCATTTAGGAGGAATCACTAAGTCGGCCGCGAAAACCGATTTAGCTAAGCTTCGAAAGAAAACTGGTTTCACATTTCTGAATTGTAAAAAAGCTTTAAAGGAATTTAACAATGACATAGTAAAAGTAAGGTTATCGTTTTTTTTTATGTGGAATGGGGGAGAAGTGGATTTTATGATGTTGCTGCAGCATCTTGTCATAAATTATCTCATAAAATCCCTGATGAAATTAGTTCCAATAGAGTAAGTAATTTGAATGTGCTATATTACTGTACACAATTAATTGAACACAACAACCTACTTGAACACAATCCAAGGATCTTGCAATTCGAAGACGAGTGACCAAGCCAATAACTTTTCATTTGTTACAGTAAACTAAAAATGTATTTGTTTTTATGCTTTATTGTAATGTTTTGCCTTCTTTGAATGAAGGCTGAAGAATGGTTACACAAACAGGCAGAGAAGGAAGGTTGGAGCAAAGCCACAAGCTTACAGGGACGGGAAACAGCTCAGGGATTGGTTGCTGTTTTATGTCAAGACAATTATGCAACTATGGTAGAGGTCAGTCTTTGATAGGCTGCAGTCTAGTTCTATAAACAAATATATAATAATAATAATAATAATAATAATAATAATAATAATAATAATACATAATACATAATAATTTAGTTTAATATAATAATGCATTATGCCAAGATTCCTGGAGATGTATTTCATAATGTTGCAGCTAGTAATCAGTGAAGTGACGTCCAAACCTACAAGGTATCCACATATACTTTTGAGGGTAGAGAGACAACATGGATAAAGTGCCTTGCCCACGGCACAAATAACTGGACAGCCTCTGACTAGAACCCCTGAAGTTTTGATTGGAAGCCTGCAGCTTTACCGCTGTGTCACATCAACATATTTATTATGGCAATCTGATAGTCTCTGATATAGTTGATAAAATGGAAGAAATTAAGTATTATCAATAAAAACATTATTTCTACCTTTTACTAATAACAAATGATTTTCCATCTTATAGGTAAACTGTGAAACTGATTTTGTTGCAAGGAATTCACAGTTTCAGCAATTTGTAGGGAAAGTAGCATCAATGGCTTTGAAGCAACACAGAAGTGAAAACTCTGTTATAAATGATGTTGGCAAGGTAACTTACCTTTGGTTGTACATACATAATATACTTCTATTGTAATATTTCATTGTTCCTTAGCTACCAAGTCTCACATATTCAGACACATTGTTAAGCTCTAATACCAGGCCCATAACATCTCAAGCCATTTTCGAAATTGCATGCTTTTTTTAATAAGTCGCATTAAAATGAAATATAAAGCATAGAGTACCATGTCATCATTATGGCCAGTAGGCCCCCTATCTCTTGTGGTGGTCCAATTTGTAACTGTTTTTTATTTTAAAATTAAGACAATTTTTATAGTTTTAAGAGTGCTATTTCTGGACATGTAATGGTGCTAAATGCAGAAATACTTAGTTCTGCTTTAAACATAAATATTTTATGTTTCCACTGATTTAATAAGGTTTAAAATTGGAAACCCAACATTGATTGTAGGGTAAAGGGTAGCCTGGGTGCTAGGCCTGAATTTAAGTTACTTGTGAATTCTGTGAAGTACAATCTTGTTACTGCACTCAACCAAATTTAATTGGCATCCCATATACTCTATTTCTGTGTTTTGGAATTAGTCTCCAAATTAACTCTGTCCAGAATGAAAAAAAGGAACATGTGGAAAGGGAAAACCCCTAAAGAAAATAGGTCATGAAAATGATTATTTCTTTCGTTGATGTTCAGGTTGAGTTGATGGGTGACAAATTGGATGGTTTGAAATCTGAGCAAGATGACGGCTCAAGCGTGAAGGATATTACAGCGCTAACGATTGGAAAGATTGGTGAAAATATAACTGTTAAGCGTGCAGTTTGTATGCATGTGCCTGTTGGCCATATATTAGGTAAAGCTGAATTTAAATATCTAATCTATGAATTTCTTTTAATCTATATAAGTCCATACACTTACAATGTAGTAAGTCTATATAAATGTATTTAAGCAGTTGAGTTGTATTGAGCCAATAAACTTTAAAAAAGATAATGTAATGTTTAGTTTGTTTATTTAAATTTAAGGTTTTTTGTTGTAAAAAGTTTATAAATCAATGAAAATTATAGTTTTGATGATTATAGAATTCACCAAATACAAGGCTAAAAGCTAGAAAAGGAGGGGTAAAACAGGACGAAAAACACAGTTCACAATCTAACAAACAGCAAAGAACCATTTAAGTAGAGTGTCATGTTGAAACTTTTTGTAATCTTATTAAATGAGCAATTCACTGTTTTTTTTTATTTAGGGTTCTTTTTTGAGAGATTTTGCCCCAGGCAGTAATATATCTTTAGACTCAATCTATTTGCAAGGTTTGGGATAAATATCATTCTGTCTATATTGTATAAGGCTGGGTACTTGTATTTTGTCAATGAATCTACTTTTTAATCATTATATAAAGTATCAAATACTTATCTGCTATTAATTCTCTAATTCTCCAGGGAGCTATGTTCATTCTATGGCAAAAACATCTATTTTAAAAACAAACGATTGTTCGCTTGGGAAATACGGAGCCCTGGTTGCTGCCCACAGCATCAAAAAGTCATCTGCCAAAATGCAACCGGATGAATTTGGTAGGAGATTGTGTCAACATATTGTTGGTATGAAGCCTGTAAGAATAGGTGAATTTGTTCCACCAGTTCAAAAAGAATCAGAAGAACAAGGTAAATATACAGTATAATATAATAATGTGTATCAAAATCAATATGTAAAAGATTTTTCAAGTTATACATATAATGAAGTTGAACTAATGTCCACACTATCAATTTTATGTGAAAAATGAGTGTGATGTGTCCATTATGGGTATGATGATGTCATATTACATTGTGTTGTCACATGAAATTTGATAGCGTGGACGGAGCTTTACCCGATTCACACAAGGCTATGTTCTCACACGGCTGCTAACGGTTAGCAGGATCCGGATCCATACGAGAAAATCCGATCCTGCTAACCGTTAGCTGCCATGCGTCCATACGAGAAAATCTCGATCTGGATACAAAAATATGATGATTAAATCACTGGCCAATAAGAAACTGGAAATTGAAAACGCGTACGTGTGATTGGTTGATGATAGAAACCAGACTTTAATGTTACACGGATGTTCTGTGTTAGATGTTGTTTATAGTGGTCGGAAGGTATTATTAGGTGATTACATTATAACAACAAAGAATCACCAAATTAGTCTCCCAGAACATAAAGTGTGCTACTCAGCCCCTAGACCGCCCAACTTTCAAAACATGCGCTGCCAATGGTTTGAATCAAGTATGTCTAGCTTATTAATGTCATGTGTCTTCTTCTGTTTTATAGAAGATGGAGAAGAAATAGAGGAACAAATAGTGACAGACCTGGTTAACCAAGAGTATTTGATAGATCCATCATTAACTGTTGGTGAATTATTGTATCAAGAAGGCATCCAAGTTATTGACTTTGTTCGCTATGAATGTGGACAGAAATTACACTAAAACTCCAATCAAACATTAGATTTACAAGCACTGACAAAATGCCACATTAAAAAGCAATTTTCAGTTGAATAGAACTTTTCACACTAGGTCAAGTTGTGTATGGTGTAAACATTTATTGCAATACTAATCCACCACTGTTGTAGAAAACAATAAAAATGAAAAAAATTCAACCAAAAGTGTTAACGTTTCTTTTGTTTTTTACTTAAATAAACTGGGATTTCTTGCATGATTAATCCTTGCATCAAAAAGTAACTGAGGTACATCCTAATACTACTACTGCTTTTTAAAAAACTACTACTGTATAAGAACATTTTACCTACTTAATATAAAGTTTATTAAAATCCCAAAGGAAAAATCTGCATACTGTAATATTGTATTTACACTGTCTGGTAAAATCTGAAGTACCTTAAAAATAAATTAAAAAGATTTAAAATTTCAATTTAAAGATAAATGAATTATATCTACTAAGAATTAAGCAATTATATTTTTAAAAATTTATTAGGTCAACAGTGTATATTTTAACCTTATTTTTTTCAACAATAAAGTCGTAACACTGCATTGAAGGGCTGTGAACGAGAATCTGGTAAACAGTTGTAACAGAAATTCTCATTTTGCACATATAAATGAATAGTTTGTACATTCCACTCAATAGCCCTGCTAAATTACAAATAAACATATTCTTTACGTCTATATTTCACTACCTTACTATGGTCCTCGCATGTTATAGAATACTGTAAAAATAGCATACTAGTACAGTACTGTACATCATTTTATTTATTTTTGTTTCATTTTTAGACATCAATAATGTAAATCAGCTGCTTCCACATAATTGTAAAAAAAAACAACAAATATAATGTATTTTGATAAAATATTACATTAAACATTAAGAAAAATTCACTTTGTGCTGAGCCCATCTCTTGCTACATGTAATCTCTATATTTCTTGTTGCTATATCAACAAATTTTGATCTGTCAAACAATATTGCCAAAAACCTTTTTTTTTGTTAACATAAAATAGAAATAACTAAAATTATATCAGAACTGATAACATTATTGATCTTAATTCCTTTTGATTTATTTATAATATTTATTTTTTTGATCAACAATCCAAACTTGGTAGACTCAAAATTGTAAACTACTGATGTACTGTACTCGTGTTTAGATACATATATACAAAAAAAAACTGTATATCATTTACCTATGAAAATTTGATGATAAATACCTAACATTTATTAACATGTCTTGACATTTTTTAAAAAGTTTGTAACCTCTTACCAATATATATTACATACAACAGTACTTCGTTAACACACACAATACAAATACACACACTGAAAGATAGAAGGCAATATTTTTGCATTCTAGTCCAATATAGTAAATCATCTGAGAAGATATAACAACCTGACTATGAAGAACATTGGTTCAGTAGGGATTTTTCTGAATGAAAACAATGTACATGTACACAATAACATACAATCACAACAGCTAAGTTGTGCAATAGAACTGAATAAAAAGCATATACATACGCAATTATACTTCTCATGCCAATATACAGTATGTATGAATGTTATTAACAGCTTGATACTATAAAGCTGGCAACAATGCCAAGAATTCTATTTTTTTAGCTAAAGAACTGTATACCAAGTTATATTGGTAAAATAATATAAAAAATGTTTATATTATTTTATGGAAATGGAAATAAATGTTTATTGAATTGAATTGCGTGCAGGCTCATTTTAATTACCTCTGCTGCATTTGCGTGACCTTTTCAAATCCCTGATTTAAATTTTAAATTTAATTTGCATAATTAATGCCTCATAAAAAACTACCAGTATTACATAACTTGTTATGCAAGCCTTACATTATGTAAATGTCTTATTTAGGGTTTGTGCGCATGCTCTTAATCCCTGCTGTATTTGTCTGAACTTTTGTAATTCCCGATTTAAATTTCAAATTAATTTACATACATAGCACCCCATTGAAAATAACAGTATTATATATAATTTGTTACTATGCAAGCCTTTCATTATGTGCTCAAATTTGCATTAATTTTGGAAATTTGTATCCAGAGCCTAATTTATGTTAATTTTGGAAATTTGTCTTCAGAGCATTTGTCCCTCTGTCACACAGAAGCTCTGGGTCTGTTTCACACAGGGCTTCACACCCAATACTCCTGCATATCCTTTGATTTACACCACTCTCCATGCATATATGATACTCTGATAATAAAAACACTTAATTCTGTACAAAATCTAGGAATGGCTGTTTAAAGGTGCTCTCTATAATAAGGTTGTACACTTAGTTTTTTGTAGGCTGTTATTTAACCATACTCAGAGGTTGAGCTTGAATCGCATGTCTCGGACGCGTCCAATTTCACTGCTCAGTACTCCCTGCAGTTTACTGTAGGCAACTTCTACATCATTGTTGATGATTTTATGCACGGAATCACCCTGTTCATGAACTGAAATAAAATTTACATTTGAAAATTATTTATTTATTCTGTTAATACAAAAATAGAAAAAGTAGACCATGCTGAAGGTTTTGAATTGACAAATTCTGATAAATTCTAATAATTTTTAGCAGCTTTGGTCTTTAATTATAAAAAATATTATGCCATTTGGGGCTGAGTGGTCTTTAATTAGAGGAAGACTTGTATACTGTATATATTTGTGAGCGTTTCTGTCAGTTATATGAATGTTCCTGGGGGTTTAGAACTGCATGTATATCCTATTTAGGTCTCTGTGGTCTAATGAATATGATACTCGCCTTTACAGCGACATGTTTCAGGTTTGAATCCCGCCAGAGAAACTTTTTTCATACAACTGAATTAAAGGAACCTTTTATTTATGAGCTATGCTTGATATGATTATTACAGTGAATTTCAATGTACAGTACATGTATATTAAATTTGTTACGATTACATACTGTACAGTACTACACATTACAAGAATATTGTAAACATGTTAATGAAACAGTGAACTTAGTGATTTAGACATGAAATATACATTTGAACACAATACAAGAATCAGAAATTAAGAATATTTAAACACATTATATTTCAATTTGACTATAATATATAATACTGTTTTACAATTATGTGGCACTAATTGAAGAAGAAATTAACGAAAATGCAACACAATACAAGAATCAGAAATTAAGAATATTTAAACACATTATATTTCAATTTTACTATATATAATATATATAATACTGTTTTACAATTATGTGGGACTAATTAAGGTACAAATTAATGAAAATGTAACTAGTGTATGAGTTAAAAATTGTTTCAAAGAAGTTTAGAATGAGGTTGAAATTATCACATTCCCCATTAAGTTCCTAAAATTGAACCTTTAATTCTTTTTCCATTGTTTCATGAAGTAAATATAATGTATTAACATAACGTCTGTAGTAAAATCTATATTTTCATTTTAATAAAAGAATTAGAAAATAGATCAATAATTATAACAATATTACTGGTGTGTTTAAACTGCACCAACCAATGTACATTAGCCTATCTGACTTTTTGCAATGTTAGTACTGATTAATAAATGAAATATTGGTTTTTTTAAGTAGTGTTCTGATGATACAAAACATCAACACGCTTTGGGAATATATTAAAGCTTTGTGACGTTTAATAGAATACATCTCTAATAAATGCTCTAGTGCTTTTCTAAAGCTGAGTATACTGAACAAAATTATGTTCGGCGTGGATATTTGTAGACAGAGAATATTTGGAAGAGGTGCATTTTTTATCTTTTATGTTACATGTATTTATAGTGCATATGATATTATATTTTTAATATATATTAAGCCATCTCAGCCAGAATGTGAATGGCATTGAATTCAAATTTTTAAAATTTAAAACATTTTATAACCTTCATGAAATTTGTGCACAAAGTCTGATAATTTGTACCTTGCACGGCGCATACAACACAATCATAAACATAACCAACATGTTTAAAATGATTATGTTAATGAGACAGACAACATGACTTACTGTAACTTATTGATAGTTATTGGCAGAGTTGCCTCAATGTTAAGTATGTTTGGGTTAAAAATCATTACACAATTAATGTTAAATATTTTAAACATTGTGTTATTAACTTATAATAAAAACAGACTCAAAATGCTATTAATGAAGCACTGAAATATAAATTGTTAACATAAAAATATAAAACCATTAAAACTTATGCAACAAAACAAATGTTAAGCTGTTCTGTAATTCAGAAGATAATTAAACTAAATTTTCTTGATTTACCCTACAATCCATTTGCATTTCTTTTACAAATTTGGTGGTTCAGTACAGAAACAAGCTCTTGATACGCCAACTCTATCTTCTCGTTCAGTATTACATGACCTAAATTTTGGTTCTGTTCAACTGAACATTTGGATGAAACCTTTAAATTTGATATGTCATGGCATAGAATAATCAAAATATTGTGGCCTATTCCTATTTTTTTATCTTAAACATGAATGTAATTTTTTTTTTAATGAGTTAGAATTATAAACAAAAAATCAACTTGCATTCCTTTTTTTCATTTTTTTTTGTATTACACTTCTACAATCAAAAAGTAGTACATAAATAATCATCATATTGTTATATAAATGTAATACAATAGAACCCCTCATTTTGGACACCACTATTAGGTGACACTTTGGCCACAAAATGAGTGAAAGTACAGTATATCTACACTACAGGCAACAACTATTCAGGGGACACCCCTATTAAGTTGACACTTTTTTCAGTCCCAAAAGTGTCCCCTTAATAGGGTTTTCTACTCTATTATTATATCTATATTTCCAGGTATGTCAAATGTGCTTGGAAAAAAGATAAAATTATCACAGCAAAACAAGGGAAAAGGAATACAAAAATCTATTCTAATTTTATAATGGGTTCAGGAAAAGTGGAGAGGAGAACAAGTAGGAATGGCTACTCACTATCTACAGGCCCGTATCCAGGGTTGGTTTTTATGGTTTGGGAGAACCCCCCTTTTCTAGCAATCCCCCCCCCCTCTTCTGGCAAACCCCCTTCTTCAAATTTCCCAAATAAGTCCTCCAACCCAACTAATGCACTGCAGACCCACCCAGACAAAGACCTTTTCAAACATATCTGCTTTTATAGCATTATTTAGACCCATAAAGCACAAAAATCCCATTGCTTTGGGGGTTTCGCCGACCCCACCGGGGCTTCGACCATGGACCTCAAGCCCAGAAAACCCTCCCTTGGTGGCCTGATCTAAGACCAGTGAGTAATACTGTGAAGCACTTAGAGGCCTTGCAGGCATGAAGCGCTATATAAAGTCTAACACATTATTATTAAACATGCAACATATTTTTAGTATTCTTAAACCACATAGGGAAGATTAATTACTCCTGGAAAAAAAAAAATCTATATATAGATAATTGGATAGATCACACAAATGGCATATCAATTCATTCACTCAAGTATTTACGAAATAGACACTTGGTTATTCATCAGAATTCAGTTCAGTTCAGTACACAACATATTATTATATATTTTGCCAGAATAAAATAATTAGTAAAAAAAGATCAAACTTACTGAATTTGAGTTCTCGTGTAGCAGTTTCAAGTCTCTTCAAAATGGCTTCCTCGCTATCTGTTTTTCGTTCTCTCAATCGCTTTTCCTATTGTCACAAAATAATTATAAGCATCACATTTAGCGACACAGCTGATGCAAGCTTTAGATTTTGTTGAATTACTTGCATCATTAAATGTATTACAATAGCATTAATTACCTTTACCACCATTGAATCTGCATTGTCTTTTGTGATTTTGCGTGTAGGTACCAACATATGGAAATATACAGTAATACACAAAATTTTTAAAATATAACTAACAATTTAAAAAAAAAATGAATGGATACCTTATTAAAAGAGAGAAAAAAAATTTTATACTGCCTATTACAAAAGTGAAATTAAAATTTAGTTTAAGTATTTTTTAGATTATGTGACTTGGTTAAGATTAACATTCTTGATACCAATTCAATACATACTGTATGTTTATTTATTTATTCAAATTCAGGCACAAGGGCCACAAGATATACAAAACAGTGGACTTTAACATCACTGTTCTAAGTGGCAATCCTTTCACAAGACACTCATTCACCCGACACGTCGTTGGCCAACGCTATTCTATAGAGAATGGAATGCCAATACGCGTACGCAATGGATCGTTTTAAATAACACTCTGTTCAGACTGCTACCTATACTGACAATCAGCAGATGTATCGTACAGCATTCACATGGAGTGGAGTTGGATTTATCGTACAATGGTTTGGAGGACAGTCGTACGATGCCGTGACAGCCCGGCTTGCGTCTCACTATTGAGGCTTAAGCCAGGCACTCACTGCACCCGAAGCTCGTCGGCCAATGTGATTCTATGGAGAACGCAACACCACAGCAAGCATGCAACAGATCGTTTTTAATGACAATTTATTCAGACTGAGCTAAAAATCAGCAGATAGCATCACATTGTCTTGCGCTCACAGGCAGTACGACTGAGTGTCCGGCTTAAGGGAGTGGAATTTTTGGGTTGAGAAAAAATCCTGTTACAGGAATCGTACTCAGCACCGAAAAGTATCTTGACCACCAAGCTATACTCCACTCTATTGGGACATAGTAGTAACTGTGCCAACTTATAGCAGGCATTGTCTTGCGCTCACAGGTAGTAGTGTTTGATTTGTCGGCTAACAATCGTACCACCGAGTGTCCGGCTTTAGGGAGTGGAATTTTTGGTTTGAGAAAAAATGCTGTTGCAGGAATCGTACCCAGCACCCTCTGGGATAGAAAACCAAGTATCTTAACCACCAAGCTATACGCCACTCTATTGGGACATGGTACTGTGCCAACTTATAGCAGGTTTGAAATTTAGGTTACAGCACCTACGTGATGTCTTGGTTGGGGGCTACAAATCTGGATAACTTACCAAAACTTTGATGTCTGGCGGAATAATGAATATGTAAATAGGGTTCAAATCGGTCTTCATAATACTCTTCACACCTTGTACATCAATATCTAATATACACATTCTCCTTTCATTAAGGACCAGGTTAACGGCCGCTTTACTGTGAAAAAATTAAAATTGACATAACAACAAAAATTTAAAAAAAATATTTTGTTTTGTTTGTTTTGTTTTTTTTGTTCTCTTTCCAATTTATATTTATTCAGCAAACAGCATATACGCCAACAACAGGATGAAATATACATCTAGAAATTACATCAATAAATACATTCGTCATTTACAGTACAAAAATATCAGAATAAAAGTCAAAGGTAAACTCAGTAAACTTCAATGATATGGGCAGGCAAGACTTTTTATAATCAGGTAAACTGTACACATGTAGTAATGAGAGGAAAAAATATATGTAAGTATGCAGTAAGAAAAGTGTAGTTCTTTGACATCATCATCTTGTGTTTTGTTTATTTTGTATTAATTTTCTAAATTATATACCTTGTGCCATAGAGGTTGCCAGAAAATTCTGCATGTTCAATAAATTCCCCTCTCCCAATTGCCGACAACATGTCTTCTCGAGTTGTAAAATGATAATCTAAAGGGGGAAAAAAAACCCATTTTTTAACATGTATAAAGAATACATGTTCAAATTAAAAAATTAAAAAATGAATGCATTAATAATAATTTCATCATCACTGTATATATAATTACTCTGAATATATTTAATTAATTAACTTGTTCTATCATTTTTCATTTGATGAAAATTTCTAATTAAATTGTCCTCGGGGTTTATGGTAATGAGACGTTGGATCACTAACTGTTAGTAACAGCAAATTTTATTCAATAAACTTTTTTTGCATTTTTAAAAAGGTATTTTGCAAATACAAGCCTTATGAATGATAATAATAATAATTGACTACATGTAATACTTTTACTCATGTTGTTTTTACTTAAACGTTGTAAATTTGAATAATAATAAATTGAATACCATTTAGCAATGCTAGCCGAACACTTTGTAGTTTAATGTTCACCATGTCAATATCTTTACTATAAACATAAATAATTACATCATCACTAGTAAATACTAATTCATTATCAACAACTAGATACAGTATATCATAAATAAAGAGAATTGATAAGTAAAGACAATTCTTTGGGGTATGCCAACAATAATCTATTTACCTGTTACACATTTTTAGAGAGATACAGTCATTTGGGCCCTTTCATTAGGCCTGTTATTGAGACCTGCCATTGTTTCTGAATTTGATTTTATTGTGCTGTCAGCAAGTAATGGTTAAATTTCAACTTTCTGGCTAGGCAGGAAATTTGATGTCCCTATACCCCATGGTGCATACAGTTACCATTGTATAACTTTTTCTTGTGTTTAATTCACTGTGGTTTGTTTCTTTAGATTTTGGCCAAAGATGGCACTTTCTTGTCAATTGGAAAAATTGAATTGAAGGTTCTAAACAAAATACTAGATAATCTAACCTTTTCAGTTATTTGTTTGATATGTCATCAATTATTAAAGCGAAATTTTGTGCAATGCTTCAATAGATTAACATACAGCATAGCAATCAATGTTCTTATATTTTTCTTTGCAGATTACTTATGTGATTCCTAATATTTATTGTTTCTTCACTTGTATAATTTACAGCAAAATCTTCTAATGATCTTTATTTAGAATTTAAGCATTGTTTAGGAAAAAATGTATTTGTCAACATTAAGAATTTCATGTTCTCAAATACTATTTTTTTTGTCATCATACAATTTCTTTTCGTATTCATTGTAATGATTAAATACAGTAAAATTTTTGTTCATTATAATCATCTGCATAATCATCTTTATTATTATCTTGTCCTCAAGACAAAGCAATCATACTTAAAATAGCCAGGCATCTGGAAACACAACAAAGCAGTTCTTTTCAGACCCATCAATTTGTTTCAATGATAGACTTATTACTACTGCATTTGTATCATTAATACATAATAATCAAAGTAGAACAAATTCGTAATAAACACAAACCAAATAACAAAAACATACCTTTTCCATCAACTTCTGAGCCTCTAGGTTTTCTAGTTGTATCTGATGGGAGAAAAAAATAAGACATGTATTATAAAGTGGGGCCTTTTTGACTGTCAAAGGTATGGTGCACTCATAAAGATTTTGTTTATATTTTATACTGTATTTTTAATTAATGGATACAAACACACCACAATTTTATTTACAATAATAATAACGTCCTGATTTATGTAGCGCCTTATACTCTACAAGCTGGTCTAAAAGCGATTGCAGCTTTATTACCCTAGAATTAAAAATTGGATTAATATATTGGCAAATTAGCACAATATTCCCCCTACTCCTGGGGAGTATACTTAGTCAATGCGACAAGCAATATGCCACAATATTCTAAAAGGTTCCCAATATACTCCTGAGTGGATATAGACAAGTAGGTAAAGTGACTTGTTCAAGACAAGCAAATTCACAGCAAGCCCCTGACCTCAGATTGAGAGCCTGAAATACAACTGCTGCCACAATAATTATAATAAATTGATATATTTATATACAGCAGGACATATCATTGTCTCCAAGCATAAAACTATATAAACAAAGGAACAAGACAATGCAATTAACTAATCTACAGAGGTCTCAGCCAACAATGTTGAGCGATCATTACTCTCTCAATGTTGATGTTTATCTCATTTACTCCACATAAGTCAAGCCCTCTGTAAGTTAGGCACTGGTAGTTACAACCTCTGGTTTGGATTCTGACTCTGCACCATGGAGGAAGTAATGCTAACAATACACTCAGGTAAGGAAAAGGTTGGGCCAGCACTGGACCACAGTTGCAAAATCCAAAGGTTAAAATATAGCATAAGCATAAAAATATTACAATGATTAGATAAAAAAAAAAGGATTTTAAGGTGACCAGCTCTGACAAACCCTACATTTGTAGCACATCTATAATTTTGCACAGCACCTAAAGCATTTCAAGAATCAGATTTCAGGTTTTAGCAGTTTACAGTTTAGATATATTAAACAACATTTCTGCAAAAAATATCGATCACTAAATCTAACTGAAGAGTATATTAAAACTAGAAATTGCAAATTGCAAGTGAAGTGCTGCGAAGTACAACTGCATAGAAATGTTCTTCGAACAAAATTATTTATGCGAGTCAAGTGAAAATAATGAATAATAAAAATATAACAAATAATTGAGACACGACCCATTGTCTATATTAGAACACTTCTCATTGGGTAACAAAGTCGTCATTTTTCATTTTTGTCAAAAAGTGTCTATAGTGGTGAATTATGGTTTAGGTTTTTTTTAATAAAGTTTCAAAAATGTCTATGTGGAGTACAATTCAAAAAACAACTATAGGTCTAATAATGAATTATTGTGATGTTAAATAGACAATGTTAGCTATCAAGGAGCGACGTTGTTTTTCATTGGGACCTTCGTCCCTTCAAGGCTAGGCCTATACCATACTAGCTAGTCTAGGCCTAGAGTAGAATAAGGCTAGCGCGACATGCGGACGTTGGTACGTGTTGGTTAGTCTACAAACGTCGCCTAAAGTAATTGATTTTACCCCGCAGAACGAAAGAAGGAAACTCCACGTTTCAGTCGTCTTAGGCCCTTGTTTTTTGACAAACAATGACCTTTCAGAGGTCAAATTGCTGTCAAGAATATGAATTGGCTGCTTCGCAGCAATTATATTTAAAATACAAATTCTAATAATAAACTATTAATTTTGGAAACTCTGGAAGCTATTTTCTCAAAACTACAATGGCTGAGCTACGGCCCAATGAATTAAATATTTCATAACTTTGCTAATACTCAAACAATTTTCATAAAATAAACACCTTTTTATTTAAGAAGTAATTTTAATTTTGCCGGTCACATAGAGAAGTAGAGTAAAACTCTATATACTGTACAGTGTCTATGAAAAAACATGTAAAAAACATTGTGTGTTTATACACAGAAAAGCCTTCAATCTCCTCTGATACTGCAAATATGTACAATTGAAAATAAGAATGGATATTCAAACTTACGGCTGACTGAAAATCCAAATACATCTTTATATTCATCCATCAGTTTTTTAATCAAAGTACTTTTGCCTGCTCCTGATGGTCCGCAGAATACACAAGGAGATGGGATATTATCTGCCATGCTGGATAACTGCTGTGTCCGCAATCCTTTAGGAAGACAAGAAACCGAAATGAGATTGGATTCGTATGATATACTCAAAGAAAATCATGCCATTGGCAAGGATGAAATATACTGTTGATTAATAATAATAGCAGCCTTTCGGGGATTGTAACCTGTCTCTTATACACATCTAGATGTGTATAAGAGACAGGTACAGTACTCTTGAAACAGCTCTCTCCGTTTGTTAATGTAATGTAATAAAATGTAATTTGACAGTTGAAAGTGCTGATACAAATTATGTTTATGAGGTAAAAATACAAAAAGATAACATCATACAGAATATCATGGAATTGCACTAAGACATAAACAGGACAATTTAATCGATATGACTGCCAACACACACAAAGATGATACAGTACAATTTAAAGAATAACCAGCATCTCAATTGACAGTATTAGCTACTGAGCAGCTCGTATATCCTTCCTATAAATAGCTTCCCTGTAACACAAGTACTGTGCAGTACATACAATGTAATCAATGGTATAATATAAGAGAATGTGAGGAGGGGGATGGGAACACACCCTCCAGTTAAAATTAATGAACATTAACACTAATCCCACTTGTTAAAAATACATAACTCTTTGATGTTTTTACATTATTATTTTGAACTAACTTGATACTAGTACAAAACCCATGAAAGAAATTTGAAATATTAAAAATTGGTATTTTTATACTCTTTTCTGTTCTCCCAATCATTATTTAAATAGGACATTCTTTCGCATCATTCAATCGTTCTTTATTAAATATTAAAATTACATGAAAGAAAGTATAAATAACAAACAATACAAGTCAGTAATTAGAATTTCTGTTTCTTGACGCAGGGTTCCTGGAACGCCGCCCTCGGCGTGTGCAAAGCACAACTCAGAGCCAGTAGTGGAACGTGAAATTTCGATATGGTTTCGTAGTCAGATTTTTGAGAAAAACTTCAGCTACCCGTATTTCTCGACTGAGACGTCAGTGGGAGCCGTAATTCTTCTACCCTTAATTCGTATTAAGGGAATTTACGCCCACAAACCTTGTAGTTATTAATATTTTGGTTATAATAGAAAATGTTTATTTTTTGGTGATGTCACTCACAATATAGTTAGCATGGATACGTCATAAGCTAGATTATGTCACCTTTTCCTGGTAAGGCAAACTTTCCCGGCGTGCTTTTTTGATTGATAAACAAACACCACTGTTTTGCACATGGATGCCTTGCCTAGCTAGGGCTACAAAAGCTGCATTGTTAGCATTATATAATACTTAAACAAGGTACAGTACGTCTGCAAATGAATTATTCTTAGTTATTTTTTTTTCTTATTTTAATTTATTTCTTTCGAAAGTGTACTTTCTATCACATATAATTGCACTGTCTACTTAGGCCTAGGCCTAGTCTTATTATGGCTCATCATCCCCCGCTACACAGTACATCAGTAGGCTAGCCCCCCACCCACCACGCTACAGTACAGACGTTTGCTAGGCAACAGAATGTGATTGCACCTTCCTTCCCAGGTGTTCATGTAACATTTGCATTGTTAGCTAACCAGTTGTGTGTATTCCTTTGTGAAAATGAGTACCGTGGCATACTCATTTTCACAAAGCATTTGCATCCCCTCTTGGAAAGAGGGAACTTCGAAATATTATCTCCATACCTTCCCTAATTAATCACCGTAATTAGCTTACACTTATGCATGGAGGGAGCACTTAAAATGTACTGTACAATAATTATTTCACTACCCGACAAACCCCGAACTTTATTCATACATTACATAAATAGTTTCATCTTGCTGACGTACTCCAACATCACTAGCGCATGGTAACAACCAACTGACTGCAGACCATTTCCAGTCACACATTACTCTCCATAACGCAGCACCCCCTAGTTCCGTCACCTCTGGATATTGGCTAAAATCCACTGCTGTATCTGGGTATTGTTTGGATGGGGTTTGCACTGTGTTTTTGGAGGTTTGCGGGGTTTAGCAATGTTTTTATACAAAAAATGGCATTTTTACCCAAAAAGTAGGTTGTTACGAATGGAACATTATAATTTTTTTTTACTGAGACACCAAGTGAGTCCTATACTGTACGACATGATTCAATCACTATCACAGGGTTTGCACTGTGTTTTGAGGAGTTTGCGGGGTTTAGCAATTTTTTATACAAAAAATGGCCTTTTTACCCCAAAAATAGGTTGTGACGAACATAAAATTAAGATTTTTTTTATTGAGATACCAAGTTGAGTCTTATACTATGTGATTCAATCATTATCACAAGGTTTGGATGGGGTTTGCACTGTGTTTTTGGAGGTTTGCGGGGTATGCGGGGGTTTGCAGGGTTTAGCAATACCCCTGTATCTTAATACTGAAACAAAGTGGATCTGGTACCGGATCTACATGACTCAAGATTAACGAATATAGTACAGTACCAGATATTAAGACCCTAACAACAACAATGTACCCAGTAACGGACCCCTACCCAAAGCATAAAAAACAAAGCTAGATTAATTTATTTACAATAGAAATAAAACTAAAATAAAAATTGATTTCCAATATTTTTTTTCATGATTTTGCTTTCTTATCATCTTTTAATTCATAATTCACTTTATTGCAATTGTATAACAGATTGGACAATACAACATATTCCAAAAGAAAAGGACTAAAAACATACACAATATAAAAATGTACACAATTTAAAAATCAAACATTCACAAAATTAATCGATTAAAATGAAAACTTATATTTATTATTATTACATAAAAAATATCTGCTATCAATAATTATCATTTACAATGAAATAAAAAAAAATTATAATCACAAGTATTTATATTAGCAATTTCTAAATATCTAAAATTATATAAATTTGTAATTTCTTTACAAAAAAAAATCAGTTATCAATTTTAATTAAAAAAACTTATTTGATTATAAAAAAATATCAGTTATTATTAATTTTTAATATAAAAAATATATTTAAAAACAACTCATTATCAACTTCCAATTAAAAAAATTATCTTATTATCTGTTACAAATTACAATAATATATATTAATAAAATAGAAAGAAAAAGGGTCACAAGGTGGACACGACAAACAAGAAAAGATCAAAACAAGGAAAATGCTACCAGTTTTTAAAAAGGTCGGCATTGATGAGCAAATTATTGAAGTGCTTGGTGTTGGCATTACACGACAAGACAACCAGATCAACCCTACTAGTAGGTAGGATTAGGCCCTAGTCTAGCCCTCACTCAAGAGGCCAAGCCTTTCTCTAGCCCAGAGAAGAAAGGCCTAGCCATAGCCCGCTGCCTAGCTACAGTTACTGTAATACTGTATCATACAGTAACAGTAGGGCCTAGCTTTACCAAAGTACAATATGTTCATTATTAAATATTATTTGCTGAACTAACCAAAAACAATATAAGCGTACCTAATTTAGTGTCTGGAAATCTGAATAAAGGTGAAATTCGTATTATCTGCTTTAAAAATGACATTTAAAGAAGGTCTAAAACAGATCTCACCCTTCCTCGATGTATTGCGTGTGTGGTTCTGAGATTGTTGTTGTTGTTTCGTGCGCCACCATCGTCAAACTCTCGAACTTAATACGCCTTTTTCACGAATCGGTAGACATCTTGAAGTGATGACAAACATTGCGAATCAGCGGTGCGTAACCAACAGAAATAAGATAAGCTTTTAGGCTGATTTTCTGACATCGTGTTATTTAAAAAATCATAATTTTTCAAATTTTTTTCAATCATATAGTGGGGTAGACTAGTCTTTTAAGAACATTTTGCTGGAAATTTTTTTTGGATACGACGCCCCGTTATAGAGTTATGATTTTTTAAATAACATGATGTAAAAAAATCCGCCCGAAAGCTTATCTTATTTCTGTTGGTTACGCACCGCTGATTCGCACTGTTTGTCATCACTTCAAGATGTCTACCGATTCGTGAAAAAGGCGTATTAATTCCGCTCGACCTCTCTAAAGCTGCTTCGCTCGAAACTGGAATTAGAACTTGGAAGGCATTTCCCATTTTCTTTGTGGTATTAAGCTTGTAGTAGGTATTTTCAAGTAAAAAAAAAGTATTAAAATATTTTATGGTATACTAGGACTAGGCTAGGCCCTAGCCTAGAGCTTTAGGCCTAGGCTAGCTTACCGTCCCAACAAACAAAGCAGTGTTTTGATTGATTTATTCTGCCCCGGGTCATGGATAGAGCTGCCTACCCTACCTACTTATCTATGCCTAGCCCGAAGTAGGCCTAGGCTAGGCAGGCCTATCTTTTAGGAATACCCGCTTTTAGTTAGGGCCAGGGCTTCGCTATGCCCAGCCATGAGTCCCAAGCATACATAGGCTACGGGCCTGCCACAAGCAAGGCCCCCGTAGGCCCAGGTAGGCTAGGAATATTATTTACTATCCCTAGGCTAGGCCTAGGCTTATAATATAAAATTTAAAAAAAACTAGACCTATAGGCCTAGGCTAGCCTACTGTAGCCTATAGGCCTAGGTAGGCTAGGCCTATTATTAATACTAATTATAATACCGGTAATTAATAATCATTAAAAAAAATCATAATTTAATTAAAATTAATATAATTAATAATAAACAAATTCACAACAATTCATAATCAAATCAAATCAAATCTTCATGAGTAAAATTTGTTAAATTAAACTAAAAAAGCTGTATCCTGGGCCTAGTAAGGCGATACTTTCTTATACCTTGTTTTGCGAATTTATTTTTTATAGATCGTCATAAATTTTGTTTTTCTATTTAGCAAATGGTTTTGCCAAAAACATTCAGATGGAGGAGAAAATAAAATTTTATTGGTGAAGGTAAACAGTGCAGTGATGGGATTGTTAAATGCTAAATTAATAGGAAGAAATATACATACAGTTTCTTATTTTTGGAGATTTCAAGGCAGTGGAATAAAAATAAAGAAAAACTTTTATTTTTTTTCCAAAATCTCCATTTTTTTGTGGTGGGTGTGCTAACTGGTCAAAAATAGAATTTTAATTCTATTCAAAATCATCATTATTGGTTTGCGGCGAGTTTGCTAACAAGGTATAAAAAACCCTTGCATAATTGTTCTCATTTACCCTTTGGACAAATTTCCAAATCATATGTAAAAGGTAAGTATAATTGTAATTCAAAGGCACATCGTTGGCTAAAATATCATTAACCTACAGAATACACCACTCAGGGATGTGGTTATGGTGGGCGGATGTGGGCAAGGCCACCCAGCCTTGAATTGAAGTTTTCCACCCAGTCTAAAGCTAATTCCATAGCCCTCAGCCCACCCTTATTAACCCACTTTTCCATCCTTAAAATCCACTCTTGTTATTTAGAGTTTACAAATGTTATGACCCACCCCTAGTTTTCTATAGCTACAACCCAACACACCAGATGTGCGAATAACCGTTTTGGAGTTGTTGCACGGGCAACTGTGCGAATTGTCTTTTTTTGGTGTTCATCCCAATCCCATGCTGTGTAGATAACCACCTACAAGGCTAAATTTGGAAAATAAATGCCTGTTGTTTGATTGATATACTGTACATCAACAAAATAATTTAGGAACATTATTGTCTACAATGCACTCTCATCCAAAATTAAAGTACATAATCACGTTGCAGGCAAAATATTATTAATTTTATTTTTTGAGTTTTTTTTTTTTTTTTGTGTTTGCAGATATCATGCTGAGATCTATGTAGTAGCAGCAACTGGCTGAGATGAATGATGGCGCAGGTTATTGATTCCCAACGCAGCGGTGTTGCAAGCACCCACGTGAGCTTCATCTGCCAACGATGCTGTGCTCCTTTAAAACTCGATCCTTCTTTCAATTCATTAGACAGCCAAACATACAGTGATCTTGCTTGTGAGTTAGCATTTAGGCAGTGACTAAATCTGGGACTCGGGATAAATATACCAATTTAAAATAACTCTTAATTTTGATTGGATGTTATTGTATATATGGATTGGATTAGGACAATAACACCCATTCAGCGTTAAGAATTTGTTTATGACTGGTGTAACAATAGCCACTGCATAATATATAAATGTCTCTACCTTTTTAAATTATGAGGTGTATTTTCCAGAGGCTCATGAATATGAAAACACTATTATATTGATCTATATCGTATATTAATGAAGTGCCATCAATTTTTAAAACGATTGATATTATATATAATTTTATAAAACAATATTAATGCATATATAGTTAAGAAAAACTACAATAAACAGAGTAAAATAATATAAATTTCCAATTGTGTACATTTATATTAAAGCTGTTTATTTTAATTGCTGCTAACTGGTTATCTTGATTATAATTTGTTTTGATTTCCCCCTTTATTTTTAGCTCCACTAATCCGATCTATGAGTGAAAAGCCTCCAGAGTCATCAATTCCCTGTGATCAGTTTGATGTCAATAAAGACGATAATGTTGCAAGGAAAGAAATAATTACTCAAAGGTAACTTATTAATTATTGTTCTTGAACATAATAATTTATGGGATTTCATATCTTGCAGTACAGATTGTGATATTTCTCTGGTTGGCTGAGCGTTAAAACACTTTACAACATGTGAAGTCATCAATACAGTGATCATGGGTGTGCTTGAATATATGATAAAATAAAACTATCATCAGAAACCCTTCCAATTTTAGTGCTTTTCCAACATTCTACCAACTTAATGTTAATCCTTCTTAGTCCGCACGAGCCAGATGTATACACTAGACGTCTTGTGTAGATCTGAAAGTAGTAGCCTTATAAATTGATTGATTCTTTTAAGGACATCATCTCAAGATAGCAGTCATGAATTCACTATTCTTGGTGAAGCTGGTAACACACAGGTAGAAGCCAGAAGCTATGCTTGTAAGGTATGTAAAATAATATAATTTCAACAAAGTCTGTTGGCATATATAAGCCAAAGCTTAGGCCAAATAAAAAAAAAATTGTTTCATACTGACCTACCAATTTTTTGGATTTTTCCCAAAATGTTGCCAACACAAAAAGTTTTTTTTTTTACCTGTAGATTCACAATGTTGACCCAGTCGCTATCTAACAGTCAATCAGTCTAGTAAATGATATTATAGTTTATTGTAATAAACTAATGAAACATTTACACATTGCAGTGTTTAGATAACATTTAAGTCATCATTGTAAACTATTTGAAATTATTCCAACAAGTCTATTAGTTTCCTTATATGTTTAATGTGTTGATATTGCTCCGTGTTTGTTACCAATATGCTATCAAGTTATGTATTTCTTTTTGTATTTCATAGATTTGGGGTCAGTTGTTTGACATTATGTCTGGTCATTCAGATGTTGACCACCCACTTTGTGAGGTCAGTAATTTTTTTCCCAATCTTTTGTTTTATCATTGATAATACAACAAATATTTATTAAGCCCTATTTTAAACTATTCATAATACATTAAAAACACTCATTTCCCTGTTCTTTTTTGAGGAGTGTACTGCATTCTTTAACATAATACAATACATGCAGCATATGTACACACTGGGGCTGGTTTAGGCCTAAGGGGATTTGGAAAATTGAGAATGCGGAACAAATCCCTATTCCAATATTAACCTAATGGTAATTTTTAGTTTAGTAGAGATTAGTGTAACTCAGTGCCCACACACACTAGCTATCACCAGTTTCAACCTATTACACTATGCTTTCCTTTTAATGTAAGATCAATTATGATTATAGTATTGTTGGATTCATTCATATAATTCTATCAGTATATTATTTATTTATAGGAATGTACTGATAGCTTGCTAGATGGGCTAGACATTCAACTCAAGACAACAGAGGATGAGCTAAAACACTATACTGAGTCACTGGCACAGCTGAAGGAAGACAATGGTGGCGAAGATGAGGCCACCCTTACTAAAGAACTTGAAGAGGTGATTTAATTAAACCTAAATATAACAAATTTGCCTAGGTTTAACCTCTTACTACACTTTGTTTAGAAAGAGAACTTGCATTGTGAAATGATGCTTACCCCACAATGAGAGAACGAGTGGGAACATGTCCTTGTGTGAATGACTAAGCTTGATTTTTTTTTAGGAGCTGGAGTGCTTACCCTCTTAAAATATACACAGTACATGTTTTCCAAGTTGAATACTAATGATCATTTATATATTTCCTTTTGAATTTAAATGGCATGTTCTTTTTCTCCATTCAGTTAATGATGAATACATTGTTGTAATAGCGATAAACATGAGAAAAGTAAGAGACTGAATAAAATTAAGAAAATAGAATAAGAGGTATTATTTTTAAAATTAATTTTCTTTACTTATTTTTCTCATAACATATCTTTGGTTGCCTTTAGTTGAGGTTGGAAGAGAAAAGCCTTATCGAAGAACTACAGAGCATGGAAGCTGAAAAAGAGAAGATTAAAGAAGACACTGAACGACAGAAGGAAGAACTACAAAAGTATGAAGATGAAGAAAAAAGGTAAATGAAGGCTTTGTATTGCCATGGAGATATAAAATTAGAATTTTATACCTCCATGGTATTGCTTATATATTGTTAATTACTGAATCACCCTCATATTATCTTATCTATTATCATCATAATTATTAATATCACTATGTTTACAGATATTGGAGTGAGTACAGTGTTTACAAAAGGCAGTTACTAGAGATGGAAGATGAACAGAGGAGTGTTGATAACCAACTAAAGTACGCTCAAGCCCAACTGGAGAAACTAACACGAACGAATGTCTTTAATGCTACATTCCATATTTGGTAAAGTGTTTATAATTTGATGCATTTCTGATCCTTGTTTCAAATCCTCCAAGCGTCAGCATTTTTCCAATGAGCTTTTCATCATTCTCCACATATTGAGATAATTGAAAGAAACATTAAAAAGTGTATTATTACATTAAATTACATTTTATTTGATATAAATAATTTTTGTTATATCATTGTTATTTTTTTACAATACTTATATTATTTAACCTGATTGATTACAGGCACAGTGGGCATTTTGGAACCATAAACAATTTTCGATTGGGAAGACTTCCTAGTGTTCCTGTAGAATGGAATGAGATCAACGCTGCATGGGGTCAGACGGTTCTACTACTCCACTCCCTTGCTAAGAAAATGCAATATAAGTTCCAAAGGTAACTTGACACACAATTGTCTAAACCTGCTTTACATCTTTATAATAAAGTGCTTTCATACTTGTTTTATATATTTTGTAGGTATAAAGAGCTTTTTTAGTAGCTGGGGAAGGTGGGTGTTGTGAGAAGGGTAGAACAGGGTATTTGAGTGCCTTTTGCCTAGTATTGTTACATCACCTTTGCAGTTGACCTATGAAAAGGTTACCATAGTAGACCCTGTTTTTGAATTAAAAATTGAATAATATATGTTAACATTTGATAGAATTTGTATTTATAATCTTGTGCCGATTTTACTGTAGGTTAATTTGTTTTACAGGTACCGTCTCGTTCCTTATGGCAATCACTCATTCTTGGAGTCATTGACTGACAGGAATAAAGAGCTCCCTCTACATGGCTCTGGTGGATTCCGATTCTTTTGGGATACTAAGTAGGTTTGCTAGCAGTTGTCACTATAGAAATATCAGTAGTGAATATTAACCCAAATGAAAATTAACTGAATTTTTCTATATTAAGCAGCAAAAGTAAAAATTATAATCAGCTATTTTAAATGATGATGTTACGCTGATAAAAATATCTAGTAAGGGATGCTGGAATTAGTTTAAAACACTCTGCATTATGTCATGTTATTAAGAATTAATATACTGCCTTTCATTTATTTTTTGAAATATTGATTAAAAAATTATTATTTGAATCTTGAATATTCAGGTTACATTAATTGACTTGGGGTAATAAAATGTTCTGCTAAGCCACACCCTTGGATATTGTTGATAAGGTCCTACAAAGTGACAGTGTAAGCACTGTTTGTGACCCAACAAAACCTGTGGGACAAGGATCTAATCCTTGCTCTCTTTGACATTCCTGAAAAAACCATTGCCTATCCCTTATTATGGAAGCTAGCTCTTCAGCATTTTTATGCTAATGAATGATTGATCCACTGTGTGCTAGAGCTAATAGGGAGCTTTCGATTTGTGCGACGCGACGCTACGAATAGGATCACTCATGCGTGACCGTCCTATCTGGCATCCTACGTTATTTGCATATGTAGATTTGGCCAAATTTCATTCCGGAATCTACTCAACGAGGTGACCTTAACTTTCTCGCATGCTCAGATGACTTTTAGTGACGTCATTACATTCTACGTCCTACCGTCGTCGTTCAATCGAAAGCTCCCTAATGAACGTTATAGCTACAGTAGTCTTTAGTTAATAAAAGTGCTGAAATTTGTTATTCTGTAGCAGACTAATGCAGCTACACATTTTCTTCATCGTGATGCTAATAGTTGGAATTTATTATTTCAATAGGTTTGATCAGGCCATGGTAGCATTTCTAGATTGTCTTCAGCAATTCAAAGAGGAGGTAGAGAAAGGAGATAAAGGGTTCTGCCTTCCTTATCCAATGATAAATGGCAAGATAGAGGACCCAAGCACTAAGACATCCTTTTCAATAAAGTAAGCAACGAAATGTGTAACGGAAGCATAGGCTTAGCCAGCGAGCCGTCTGGCCGTCTTTTGGACGGCCAACAACTATTTAGGACGGCCACGCCCACTGGCTTCCATTTTAAACGGCCTATTTAATTTTTCTGGTCAAGCCCCTGAACGGAAGTGTTATGCCATTCAATAAAATAGGAGTCCATCCATGCATGTTTGTTGGCTATGTGTTATATAACAGCTACGTGTGAAGTCTGAATTTATATTTTTTTAAATACTTATTTGCATATGCTTTTTGTTGTAGAATCCAGTTTAATTCCGAGGAGCATTGGACCAAAGCTTTGAAATTCATGTTGACCAATTTGAAGTGGGCCTTAGCATGGGTGTCATCACAGTTCAAGAAATGATTATATGGTAAATACACCATTGGATACACAACACTAGATACAGAAATTAAGTGCCTGTAGAATGCCAGATATTGAGTTCCACTTGTGCAAGTGTCCTGATATCTTCATATCTCTCAAAATGATAGTGAATGTTAATACATACTCTACAGGGGCAGATCCAAAATTTTTTAAATGATAGGGCATCAACTTCATGAGGCCTGGTGGATGCATTGAATATTTATACAGATAAATAAGTATCCAATAATCATATGATTCATGTTCAGTGTATTAAATAAATGCTGTTACAAATTACTGTAACATTTAGTTTTTGTATGCCATTTGTATCTTTTTCTGGAATTTGAGAACCCGGGGAACGTTTCGCATGCCCTTCCCCCACATATTCCCCTGCCATACCAGCACGTGTCCACACAGGACCAGGCAGCTGTATTGATGTCTTCAGGAGTCAATACCCCTGGTTGGCGTTTAGCACAACCAATTATGTGATTACTAATAGCATCCTATGTATCAGAGTGTTATGTGATTTATTATATTCATTTATTTAAATTTTCTTTGTATGGCAGATAATACTGGATAAGTATCTGTTTAATAAATGGTTTTAAAAACATTTGTTAGTAGCATCTATTAAACATGTCACAAAATGTTATTTCAATGCAATAATTAGCAATTAATGTTAGTGGTATTGTGAATATAACAATACAGTTTATCTGATTTTGTCTCATATTATTTTTATTTTATTCTATGTAATATTACTTTAAATATCTACTGTATATGTAAATGATTTTTAAATGTATGAAAACTTATGCTGAAATAAATACAGACACTAGTCTATAAGTGATTTCTCAGTGAGGTTTTTATCTGCAGATCTACAGTATGTTGCTAATATGTAATATTTATTAAAAGGCAATAATCGCTCTTTCTGTTCGCTATTTTTAAATAGTGCCCAAAAAACTTACATCATTACAACTAAAGGCAATCAGTATAATATAATGTACACTCGGTTATCTTATTCTCATGTGCCTCTGAATTTTCACCATCACTTTCACTAATGTATCAATCATGTTATATCTGATAACTGAATCGGAATCAAAACAAAACTAATACTGTTATTATAAAAATTTTATTGAACTTCGATATAGAAGGAGCATATGACATTTGAAAACTGGTGGTAACCACAGTGTGTGCACTGAGCCATAGAAATATTTCAGTTCCTGAAAAACTACTGTTAAAATACAGTACTTATAGCAGGTATTTAAGCTATTGTACTGTGTGCAAGATGGACCACATATGCTGGAGCATGGGGTCATCTAGAATCACGGCAGGGTGAAATATCAATATCGCACAAGTAACTGGCTAATGATAGACAAATTTTCAATATATTTACAGAAAATAAATAATTGTTTATGTTGCATTAATTTTTGCCTAGTAAAGTAATCCCCTCTTCAATGTTTTGACACACCACAATATATGTACAATACAAATGAAAAATTAAATCAATAAATAACTGAATCTGAATTTATTATAATTTAGTTTGAAAATCAAGGCTTATCCACGAATGCTCAATAACATATTCAACATTCCATAAATATTTTAAATACAATTTTACTATAGCACTACACAACATTCAATATAATATATTTGGCTACAATCAGTAGTAGGATGTGAATAAAAACATAATTACCAATTTAATGGTACAATTATAATGTCAATTTATCAACTAAAATGCTACACAAATATACACAGAAGACTGGGCGGAATTTATGTTGATCCTTCAGGCAAAGTCGCCATTTATCTTGGACAACTGTCTGTGTTTAGTCCCCGCCAACAGACTCTACTGTTGCATGTTCTGTGGGCTTAGCTTCTCCATCTTCAGGTTTTGCCTCAGCAGAATCTTCATCTGTAAACATTAAGAGAAAAGAAAATAATATCTGTACATGGTGTTTCTACAGAGTTGGCCAGCTCAGCTTGTTTTTGTCAGTAGCAGTGCCGGACTGAGGTGTGGGAGATAAATTTTTCCCATCTGACAAGCATGGACCCCCTGAGTGGTCAGACATCACTTGATGAACAATTTTAATTTACTGATCCAACCATAGAACTCTGAAACACTTAATGTCCCCCACCCCCTGTTGGCAAAATAGAACCATTACTATTTATTTTTATTGTCAAATTCCAATTAACATGATTTATAGAATAGAATTTCAATTTTTATTCTACAGTTATTGCAATATTGTGTATCTTACTTTTTTCATCTGCAGCTGCCTCTGGCGTAGGTTGTTCATCTTCAGTTGTCTCTGCCTTGGGTTCTTCTGTTGTTTCAGTCTTGGCTTCGTCAGGTGCTTCTTTAGTTTCTTCTGCAGTCTCTGACGTGGGTTCTTCTACAGCCTCTGTCTTGGGTTCTTCAGTGACTTCTGCCTTTTGTTCTTCAGCATCCTCTGTCTTTGGTTCTTCTGGTTTAGGTTCCTCTGCTTCAGCCTTATTCTCTTCTGTTGATTCTTCTTCTGGCTTACTTTCTTTGGGTTGAGCTTCTGCATCAGTAGCTGGTGCATCACCCTCTTTTGCTGAAATATATAAAATTACAGTTCATTATATTCTGTCCTTAAGTAATCGTCATTCTAGCAGTAAACCAGGATATTTTGCACACGCTAAATTGATTGATATGTAATATGTAATTGCATTACACTTTGCATAATATGTGTAAAATAAATTTTAATTAAATAAATGCATGTAAACAAACAGTCAATAAAGATATAAACGAGTTAGTAAATGCAGTTCAAGTTAAAAAAAAAATTCATATGTAAAGAATAAGCAAGAAATTAAAAGGCAACTAAAAATATGTACTGTAAGTGTGTATCCTATTTCTACATTAAGCTATAAAGAAACAAAGTATAAAAAAAAAGAAATGCAAATATCGCAGATTTGTTTGCAAGCAATTGTTTGGTTTTAAAAAAAATTCAGAATGGTATACTATAGATTGAGGTATTGTAAACATATTGATTTTGTTTAAACAAGTGCAAGTAGAATACTACAGTAGCTGATCTTATATGATGCAGCCACGTATGTAACAGCAGTTCAGAATCATGCAACAGTATGGGTCTCTCAATACATAATACTGCCAAAGCATACAGTACTCATGTCAACTAAAAGGGTAAGAATAATGAATGCTAAATATTAAAGAAGATACATTTGTTGATATTGTTATACTCTATATTCAATCAAGCAACGAAAATAAAATAAAAATAAACGCAATATACAAAAGTCAAATCTGAACAGAGACAAAAAGCGATTTAATGATAGGTAATGTAGAGGTTTCTACACTGTATATAAAATAGTTCACTTAATGATACAAGATTTTAAAGCGAAAGAAAAACAAGCATTTTGGCTACTCAAATTAAAAAAAAAAACTAAAGACATGTTAATGTTAAATAATTATAGTCTAGGTAGGTACCATTAGCATTAGCTCTTAAAGAATATTAGTTCTAAAAATCATTCATAACTAAATGATCTAAAATAGAAAGAAAACATCCAATGGCCCATGCTGAATAATTTATTCCACTTGTTTGAAGTCACACATCTGGATAAACAGCACCAAGTATTAATGCATTCAAAATCAAAGTACACAAAGCATGCATAGAACAAAACAAAATATTGTACAGTACACAACATAAATTTAATATCAGTAGGTAAATAATTTCAGAGATAAAAAAAAAAACATTTAAAAGCTAATAATTTAATAAAGAAGTCGCTAGACTAGGTAGAACCAGAAAGCATTTCTCCCAGGTAGAACATTGCTAATAAAATCATGCATTTACTACTTAGATCTAGAGACTAAATTAAAATAAAAAAATGCATGCAGTTGATCATGCAGGAAATTGTAAAAGAAAATCACCATCTGCAGCTTCCTCTTGTGGTTCTGCCACAGCATCCACTGGATCACTGCCATCTGTCTTTGCTTCCTCTGTTCCTTCTACTGTATATTTCAAAGGAATTAAGTTAGTACTGTAAAACTATTTAACAAGACAGATATTTGGGACTATTGCATGTTGTGCAATAAGTATCTTTTTGTTATTGAATAACACAACTTAAATTATATCATTGTAGCAGTACACCAAGATGTTTTGCACAAGCTAAATTGATTGATATAATGTGATTCTTATATGTTTTTAATTGCATTACAGAAAATAAATTTTTATTTCTTGACTATGCAAAATTTAAAAAAAAAATTTTAAAAGTTTTATTATTCTATTTATATATGAGAGTTTATATGTATTTTTGATGTTATATGATGTTGTTTGTCCAGGGCGTTTTCCCTTAGTTTGGACCTTGAGTCTGTGGAACCTGTCCATTTGCTTCCCTTTTTATTCTCTGTCTGATGTTTTTGTGAGTCGCAATAAATTGAATAAAAAAAAATGCATGTAAACAAACATTAAATAAAGGTATAAATGAGTTAGTAACTGCACTTCAAGTTTAAAAAAAAAATCATTTGTAAAGAATAAGCAAGCAAGAAATTAAAAGGCAACTAAAAATATGTACTGTAAGTGTGTATCCTATTTCTACATTAAGCTATAAAGAAACATGATGTATAAAAAAGAAATGCAAATACAGCAGATTTTTTTGCAAGCAATTGTTTTTTTTATATATTTAGAATGGTATACTATAGATTGAGGTATTGTAAACATATTGTTGATTTTGTTTAAGCAAGCGCAAGTAGAATACTAGCTAATCTTTATGATGCAGCCATCTATGTGTACAGCAGTCCAGATTCATACAATAGTGTAGGTCTCTAGATACATAATACTGTACTGCCAAAGTATAAAGAACTCATGTCAACGAAATGGTTAAAAATAATGAATACTAAATATCAAAGAAGATACATTTGTTCATAGATATTGTTATACTGTATATTCAAGCAAGCACCATAGTAAAATAAAAACAAATGCAATTTAATAAAAAAAAAAAAAATGGTCAAACCTAATCATAGAGATAAAAAGAAAAAAAAAAAGAATTTTAATGATAGATAATACAGAGGTTTTTACACTGTATTTGAAATAGTTCTCTGCTAAATGATGCAAGATTCAAAAGATAAAATAAAAAAGAAAACGTAATGTTATATAATTATAGTCTTTTGCAGTAGGTATTACTAGCAGTGGCTAAGAATATTTGTTATAAAAATCATTCATAGCTAGATGATTTAAAATTCTAAAATAGAAAGAAAACATTCAATGGCCCATGCTAAATAATTTATTATTCTTGAAGTCACACATCTAGATAAACAGCACCGTGTATTAGTGAATCCAAAATAAAAGTAGGCCAATACAAAGCATGCACAGAACAAACAAAAAAAACATATCCACAACACAAATTCAATATCAGTAGGTAAACCATTTCAGAGACAAAAGAACATTTAAAAGCTACTGAAGAATTCTACAGAGTAGGCAGAACAGCAGTTCTCCCTGGTAGAACATTGCTAATAAAATCATTCCCTACTTAGATCCAAGAGTCTACATAAAAAAAAATACATGCAGTTGATCATGCAGGAAATTGTAAAAGAAAATCACCATCTGCAGCTTCCTCTTGTGGTTTTTCCACAGCATCCGCTGGATCACTGCCATCTGTCTTTGCTTCCTCTGTTCCTTCTACTACACATTTCAAAGGAATTAAGTTAATAAAATAATTGTTTAACATGACAGATATTTTGGAAGTATTGCATGTTGTACAATAAATGTCTTTTTGTTATTAAATAACAAAACTTAAATAAACTGAAAGACTAGCCGGGTTTTATATTCTGAGGGCACATATTTAAGTAGAAGAAAACAAGTTGATCATCCAGAGAAAAAGTGTTGTAGGGGTAGAGCATATCCCACTATACATTTTGGGTATTTCTTCTGTGGTCAAGTAATGCTTTCAACTCTGATAAAGTTATCAAAATATTTCTTTACCCTCGTCCACCTTATTTTCTTTGTTTTCTGATTCATTTAATTCCTCCTCTCTAGCTTCTGGAACACTAGTTTTCTCAACCAGGGCACTGCCTTCAACTGGAGCATTGCCTTCAACTGGAGCATTTGTCTCAACTGGAGCACTGGTTTCTATTGGCAGATATTTTTCAAAATGGTTTTAATAATGCATTATCGAATGAAATACTGTAGTATCATCAGAACACACTATAAAGGCCGAAATATAGTTTTTCCGGTGGCTTATCCTAGGTATCATATCCCCATGTGTATCACTATGCTTTGCTTACATGCTGCTATGGTAGACCTAATACAATTACGCAACTGCTGACCAAAATGAGTCTGAATATATACAAAATAATGATATTGTATGAAAAATTACACTATATATAATCATATATATGGTGTTATGCAAGCATTATTTTGTGTGGATGGGGCAATGCAGTAAATCTATTCATATTTAAATAAACATGTTTATTTGAGCACTGTTATTATCATTTACCTTCATGATGCTATGAAGCAAACCCAATTTGAATATTATATATAGGCATAATTTCTAACAGGCAATTATTTTTTTCTTTTTTATAAAAAAGTATCTAGAAATATAAAATAAATACATAAATATAGTGTGAGTTACAGTATTTATTACCATAATTATATATTAATTTTAATATGCATAATAATTCTAATACATTTTGCATTAGATTTATTGTGTATAATATATTAATTATTATATACATAATAAATATAATGCATGATATGCACAGTATATTGCATATATTTTGCTTTAAAAATTAACTACTTGCAACTTTTGTTCTAGTGAGGCTATGAGTTATAAGCACAATATGTGAAAGGAAATAATCTAATAGTAAGAAATGAACATGAATAAATGATAGTGCAATTTATGTAAGACAATACAAATATAGTATCATGCAACTGGAATGTAAAACAAGTTTCACATTAAATATTAAGTTATGTGTTTTGTGGTATCAACATATTCATGAGTTTCTCAGTATACAAACATTCATTTTGAAAGGTAAAATATTCCAACTAGATTGAGTGCTATAGCATGAATAATACAATGAAAATATATAAACACTTGTGAAAATTACATTTTATAAAAATGCACAAATGCAAAATACTCTCTATAATAAACATTGATTTTGAACTTGGCAAAATATTCAGACTAGATTGAGTGCATAGCATAATATAATATGAATAAAAACCTTATGAAAATGTAAAAATACTGGTGAGAATAACATTTTTAAAAGTTGATAAATGCAAAATACTTTTGCGCAATTTCATCCATACATATGATGTAAAGTATGATAGCAGTGGCAGTACTAAAATGCACCATTGATATGTATATGAAGACCTTTTAAGCCCAACACAGAAAATAACCTACGAGAAATGAGGTGACATGTATCTTGCAAACTACCTTTAGGAAATTCCTCAACATGGTCAGGTGAGGCTGAGTGCTGACTATTTCCTCTTTCATCAACAGATAGAATACTTGTGTCACCTTTACCAACTGACGGTGTTCTACTACCCTGTGATGGGGAACTATCACCATGTGATGAAGATCTTCTATCATCTTGAGATTGTATTGCTGATGAAGCTCTGTCACTTTGACTTGCAGATGGAGGTCTGCTCTGTGATATTGTTCTACCACTTTTGCTTGCTGACGGAGTTCTCTCAACTTGTGATGATGTTCTGCTACCCTCTGAAGGAGTTCTGTCACTTTGGCTGGCTGATGGAGTTCTACCACCTTCTAATGTACCTCTGTCACGTTTGAAGTCTGATTCAGCTCTATCACCTTTTGATGGAGTTCTGTCACGTTTGCGAGCTGATTGAGCTCTATCACCTCTTGATGGAGTTTTGTCACGTTTACGGGCTGATGTCGTCCTTGTATCTTTGACAGTTGATCGCGATCCACCACTTTTACGGTCTGAAGGAGTTTTGCGGTCCTTGACCTGTTTACTTGCATTACTAACAGATGATCTTGTAACGATCTTTGTTGAATGCTTCTTTGTATCCATCTTTTTGGTGGTTATTCTTGCAGGATTCTTTCTCTCAGTAATCGTTTTCTTGTCATTCTTTTTTGATGATGGAGGTAGTCTTTGTTTGTCCGGTTTCCTTTCTGATGGTGGTCTAGGATTTTGTTTCCAAATTTGCTGCTGTTTTGCCTTCTCCTTTTTAGGCATGGTTGTACTAGTATTTCTTTGACCTGGAGATGCTACAGTGGGCATATCTGTCTCAGATTTTTCATCATTTTCCGAGTCAGATACTGGTGGTGTATAATTTTCTGATATTTCTGATGGTGTCTGCTTAAATCCTGTAGTACTTTCTTTTTCAGCCAAAGTAAATGGTCGACCAGTGACACCATCAATCACCATTGAACTTTCTTTGGTTCCTGCACAAATGTCTGTATACATTTAGATTGATCTCAATAGGAATCAATGAAGTTACAAAGTATGTAGATGAGAGACCACAAGAAATATTTAAGATATCAGTAAATTTGTTATTTGACAATTTGTTTACAAAATACAGTTGTAAGGTATTATAATTTATAAATATAAATTTGTGTATAGATTATTAGTAAAGATTAGTAATAATTATATTTAAGTAACTGTTTTCCAAAAGAGTGATAACAACAGAAAACATATTAATGTATTTAATTCATAACTAAATATGGACAAAAGGAAACCTGTATCTTCACATAATAAAATAAATTTATAATTGTTTATAAAGTAAAAACCACAATGTATAATGTAGATGAGAGACCATAAGAAATAGTTAAAATATCAGTAAAAATGTTATTTGACAAATTTCTACAAAAATACAGTAAGGTATTATAATTTATAAATATTAAGTTGTGTATAAATTATTAGTAAAGATTAGTAATAATTGTATTTAATTAATTGTTTCAAAAGGTGATAACAACTGAGGACATATTAATGGATTTAATTAATTACATATATGGAGAAATGAAACATGTATCTTCACATATAAAAATAAATTTATAATTGTTTATAAAGTACAAACCTGCAGGTTCTTCTTCATTGCTGCCCTCTCCAGATTCTTTCTTTGCTTCTCCATCTGCATTATCATCTAAATGAAATCAAAGATTGGTTTCTAGGATGGTTTATATTAAAGCTATCCTTATATAAGTGTTGTTTTTAGTTACTTATTAGAACACTATATAACCAGTTAGTATTTCAACATACAGTATTCCAATTAATGAAAATGATACAATAGCACAATGTCAAAACATCATTGAGGTTCACAATATTCATCTGATTATTGTATTCCACACACATTTTTGAATACTAAGGGGTTCACTCTAAAAAAAAAAAACATACAGGAGGTAACACATTAATACAGTATGTTTTTAACATACTTGGCAGCATTGCTGAAAATAAAATATTAGTTTAAGTGCTACAATATTAGATTGGGGCAATTATTAATGTAGTGCCTTGTAGAAGAACACACACAAGTGGCCAGCCTTGAATGTGAACCCCTGATCTTTTGAACTGAAGCCCTGAGCTTTACTGCAGTGCCAAATCCTTCATAAAAAAAATAATAACAACAATGCACAAAAAAAGAACATTTCACAGCAGAATATTAAAAGATAAGTGAGCTCTTGTAAGCCATGTATATGAAACTATTTTGACCAAATAAGTACAAAATGGATATGATTAATATACTGGAAACACAGCAAGTTGTAAGAAAAGAAAATGCATGTAAAATGTATGTTAGCAGTTAGCAGACACCATACTCTAAATCAATATAAGATAATTGATACAATATTATAAGGTGGCTTTCTGAAATGGACCGTTCCACTTAAGCTCCACCACGCTCCACAAGTACATATGTCTGGCCTTCTGATTGGTCAGTTGTTAAGTTTGAATGACACTCCGGCAAGGACCATTAAATAAATTCTGTACTCTAAAATATACTCATAACTTTAAAAAAATAATAAATCGAGTAGAGCAAACATTGTTTGAAAAATGCTACAATATTATTTTATACAATGGCTATAATCAGTATCTAAATATATTTCTCATCCAGGTATTTTGAAAAAGATAACTATGATATCCCTTTTTTTCTTCAGGTCTATGTTTACTGCACACATACTACATATAGATACATTCTAATAAATATGTCTGCCTAATAAAAGCAACCAATTATATTAAAAGAAGCAGCAGCCTATACAAATGCTGATGAAAAACATAGGAAACATATTTTTGTTAGGCTTAAAATAGAGTTGATATATGAAGGTGACACTACTGGTGATATTCAAGAAAATAAAGATGTATTAATGCACGTTAGTGCAAAAAAAAATATTAATAAAATTGTTAGTAGATTGATAGTGTTTTAATTGGTCTTTAACTGCCTACAGATTACTCCTCAGATTAGTTTGAATATAATTTCCTTGAGCTATATAAATAAGTGTGGGTGGTGGTTTGGTAGGTTTAGATATAAACCATATGATTGGTTAATATAATAAATAAATTATAATATTTGTTCTAATTTTCTATCACCCAAATGCTTGTGTAATGTTTATATGAATAAAATTAGTTCATGGAAGAGCATAGCATTAATGATCTCTTTTAGTCTGAAGCAAGAAAGTCATAATCATTGTATTAGAAATGGTGAGGATTACAAGAATATATGTATACACTTCTGTGCTATATCTGTGTTTGCCAAACTTTATGGCTGACTAGAATAAGTTAGAATATTAGAACACACGGATGATGGATGAGAAAAAATGAATAATAATGATTATTAGAGCTGTGGCATAAATGGCTACCTGTTACAGTTGTTTCACTTTCTTTCTTCTCATTATCTATTTTCTCGGGCACTGTGTGTATTGATAATTGATATAAGGTAAGAAATTATGATGGATTGAAATCTGTATATTACTAAATGTCAACGTATATGAATAAGTATACAAAACACAAGAACACTTCATTGTTCTGTAGAAAAACTGGAAATAAAATACACAGAAAAACATAAGCCTACAAAACACAATATGTGGCAAAGACAAGCCAAACCAGTCACTGGTCGTAAAAATCTTTTAGTTAAACAGTATAATGAGATATATAAAGTGGTAAAAAAAAAAAATTTAAATCCGACATTTCTTTATGAAGTTACAAGCATTTTAACATAGAGCTGTTTAAAGAACTATATTTGACAAATTTGCCTTCAAAGTTTATGATTTTGGGCATTTCTCAGGCAGAGACCATCCCCAAATCATTCAAAATTGTTGTTTTAACATTGAAAATGTGGAAAATAACAGCATAGAATGATGTATAGATATATAAAGGCTAGTTTAGTGCAATAAAATAGATTTCAAAAATTCTGACATTCCAGTATGTTTTGGCCATTATCTCTGAAACACAATTTGTGATGAGTGACTGGTTTGGCTTGTCACAGCCACACATAGTTATAAATGGTACTGTACTTTAATATTATTGCATTGCAAATGGGGTAGGAGTTTTCTTTGTATTTATATCATTAACATTATTTTTAATATTGAATTATTCACATTTAAAACAAATATTCCAATAAATGAATGATGAATACCTCCACAAGTTATTATCATTATTATTTCTTTGATAAAATTTTCAGAATTTTACCAATAAAAACTGATTTCTTTGCATTGCTGTAATCATTCTAAAATGGTTTCAAATATTTTAATGATCAATATAAATTGAATTTATGGTGAAACTTCCAATTGATTGGATATTTAGATATAAAGTCCTGCACTGACTAACACATTTAATTTGACAAAAACAAGTGACATGCCTAAATATAATAATGATGACATCACATCGTGAGCAAATATTACACAGACACATCATGACTAAATATGGACATACAACAGTCTTTTTTAGTCAAAGAAAATTTGATAGTTTGGAAAAAAGCTTTATAACATACCTCTGATATTGCCCGTTTCTGTAACTTCAACTTCTGGGAATAATTCCTTTATCTTTTGAACTGCATGATCCTTTGTTGAACTGCCATGGATAGCATTATGAAGGATATCCTTACCAAGTAGCGCCCTCAATGACTCTGGAGCTTGTTCTTTCGCTATTTCTGGATCGGTTGGACCCATAAGCGTACGCCAATTATCAATTGCATCCTCCCTTGACAACACCATCACCATGGATGGACCGCTGGAAAAATATCAAAGTTCATAATTGACTGATGTCAGTCAATCAATTAATCGATTGTTTGATATATATGGCACTATGGCAATAGTATATTTTATCAAAACTTTGTAAAACAGGAATTTGTTGAAAAGCATGTTAAAGTCATTGTAAACAAAAGACTATAAAAACAACATTCTGCGTATTTATTGAATAAACAAGGGTTCGAACCTGGTCATGTGAGTTATAAGGCTGTCATAGAACTCTTTGCCTTCATGCTCCTTGTAGAGTTGTGTAGCTAAGTCTTGGTCCATGTGAATGTCTTTCTGGCAGGCTATGTTAAACCCGGCCTCTGTTATCCTCTCAATAATTGCGTCTAATAAATAAAAATAGAATAATCAATACACTACTATGTATTAAAATGACATCATGATGTTATAATATTGCCATCACCATAATCCTCCCCAAACCATTATCACCAATATAATGTTAATATCACCATGATTAACAAGACTCACAGCTATCATTTATTATTTCCAGCATGATCATCATCTCATTCATAATCAATGCTATCATATCACAACCACTTCAAGCTTTCCATCACCATTATCATCATAACCACCACTATTATAGCTATCCTAATCATATCACATCCATCATCATCACCATGATCTTCCTCAACACCATTATCATCACTATCTTCAACATTATCTTCATTCATATATCACAATCAAAATGTTCTGGGCTTTACGAAAGAGGAATTACCTCTGTGTTCACCAGTTGCATCTGGTTTGATGACTGCAAGTGTGTGTTCCTTAGGGAAGAACATTTCAAGCTCTTTCTCAGCAGAAGTTAACGAATCGCTGCCATGGATTGCATTTATTCTAGAATCTGTGATACTGAACTTCCCCCTTAGACTGCAAAATCATAAGAACATAAAAAACACCATGTTACATCATCCACTAGAGTACAATAAAGATGGTGATGGGGTGATGATTGTGGAGTGAAGGTGATGATGGCGGTGGTAGTGATGTGGGTGATGACGGCAGTGGTGATGAGAATGATGATGGTGGTGATGAGAGTGATGATGGTGGTAGTTATGGGAGCGACAGTGATGGGAGTGATGATAGTGATAGGTGAGGTGATGATTGTGGGGTGATGGTGATGATGACTGTGGTAGTGATGTGGGTGATGACGGCAGTAGATGCGAGTGATAATTGTGATAACAGTGGTGATGATGGTAGTAGTTACAGGAGAGTAGAAGTGATAGTGATGATGATGATGGTGATGTGAGGATGATGGTGATGAAGGTTGGATGATTATAGTGGTAGTGAAGGTGAAGATGGTGGTCTTTGAGGAGGTATTAATGATAACAATGATGATGATGATGATGATGTAAGGATGATGGTGGTGGTGTTGCTGCTGGAAGGTTGTTGGATGATTATAGTGGTAGTGAAGGTGAAGATGGTGGTCTTTGAGGAGGTATTAATGATAACAATGATGATGATGGTGATTATTCCAATGCTACAATGGTCTTCTGGAATACTGCTGGAATGTTATCTTACCTATCAGGGGCTTCTGCCTTTGCAACTTCCACTTCTTTTGGTCCAAGTAGACTCCTCCAACCTTGAATTGCTTCTTCTTTTGCTAAACCTAATGCCAGAACTGGTCCACTGCAGGACATCAAAAAAAAAATTTATTTCCATGAAAATGCATAGCTAAAAAATATGGCAATCATGCTAGAGGTCCCAAACCTCCCACGAATCACAAGTCTTCTGGAAACTACCCCATCTCCTGCCAATTAACCCATCTCCTGCAAATTCTTGATGCTTCCATTTTAGTACAACTCTTTTAATGTCACCCTGAAGTCAGCTGGCCATATGGCATAATCATTCGCAGCAAATACAATGTGTTAATAAGCTCATTAAACCTGGTGTCCGGAAGTCTCTCAACTTGGGACACTGAACATAAAAAAGCATACAGCGACCTCTGTTGCAATGAGCACATTCCCAGACCAATAAATTCTAGCATCCCACCAGGTGCCCCTTTATAGCTTAATGGATAAAACTTGCAAAGAACACAAATATTTACAGCATGGAATTTAAACACCAATTTCATGGTTAAGAACCTAAACCACATTCACTGCCCCAGTCACTCTGAATGACATTAATCCAATGTACACAGCAATAGAGATTATTAGTATTATTTATTTTTTGTATTTATTTATTTTTTGTATTTTATTGTTTGCGCTATATTAAATAAAGTTTTTATTATTATTATTATTATCTATACTTACGCAATCATTTGTTTGATTAATTCTTCGTAGTGGTCCTCTCCTTCCTGGTCCTTGTAGAATTCCTTTGCCTGCTCCTCTGTCAGTTGGATTTCTTTCTGTAGACAGACCTCAAATCCTGCTTCATGTATCTTTTCCATGATGGCATCTACAGACAAGAAAAAACAAACCCATACAATATTCACATGATTTCATACTGTTAATACCTACCCAGCATCAGCTGGTACCTACTTATACTCCAGGGTTGAGAGAAATAATCCTACATAAAGTACCTTGCTCAATAATAAAAGAAAAATGCAGAGTGAGGGCTTTGAACTCTGACCTCAGGATTAAGGTTCAGAACATTTATGTACAAATTTCTATTGGTCACCTATTGATATTCAATAAAGATATCCAAATCTGTAATTTCTGTTGATGACCAAAAAAGAGGTAGAAAATGAATGACAAGACAATGACATGTTTATCCATAGTTTGTTGTTCTACTATACCTTTATGCTGTTTCAGGGCCTCTGGTCTAATAAGGGCAAGAGTTTTCTCTATTTTTGGTGGTGGTCCGGTTCCAGGTACGTTGGGTACCACAAACGATGGGAAGAAGAATGATAATTCTCTAGATATTAAAAAAAATATACATATATAGCTTTGTTTATTTCTCTGAAAGCATCAAATATTCTATAAAAACAAAATGTAAATTCACTGATATCTTATAAAGGTGGGCAGCAATTATAGGCAAACAAAACTTTAATGGAATTAAAAGTCATTCATTCACAAAAAAAAACAAAAAAAAAACTTTTCAAGTCACCACCATGGAAGTTAACGGAAGCTTTTAAAGTTTGTAAAATGCCATCATCAATAATCTTAAAGATGTATTTTCCCTTGCTAATGTAAAAAAAATCATAAAGAATAATTTTGAAATAAACTTGCTCATATTGCAATAGCATACAAATTATTAACTTTATAATAAAAATAATAAAACACTTCCAGTGACTGGAAGTGTTTCTATCATTTTTCACTGTAAACTGATGGGTAGACATTTTTTAAATACACAAATTTCTATGTTCAAGTTGATAACTTTTATGTTACTTCAAAATGGGCAAGTTAATTTCAAAAAATATTTTTATGATTTTTTTGGTACTTAGCAAGGGACAATACATCTTTAAATACAGGAACACCGTCTGGACAAATAGTGTCCCATAAATAGGGTGTCCCCATAATAGGAGTGTCCTAAAGAAGCGGTTCTACTGTATTCAATAATTATCTTCCATTATTGCAGATGAGCTCCACGGAGTCAACAGCCAACCATGCTTATTTTAAGGAGTAGGATTAGCATTTCTTTAGGGTTAGATTAATTATTACGTTCTTGGTCCGTTTTTGTTCATACATTTTAAGCACATAGGTCCCCACAATATAATAATAACAATAATAATAATAATAATAATAATAATAATAATAAGAATAATAATAAGAATAATAATGATAATAATAATAATAATAATAATAGAGTAGTAATAATAATAATCATTTATAAAGCACCAAAATCACTCAACCAAAGTAAAAATCAAAGGTGCTGTTCTGTCATTTGGAAACAATTATGCACTCTATAAGTCATTATTATTAATTATTATTTATGGTACATTCTGAGTACAGTAGTACAAAGGTAAGTTTTGATATACTTAACAGAGATCCACCCTATTCATTATTTAATATTAATAATTTTATTATCACTGAACATTATTTTATTATCATGATCATTAACATTATCACTATCATAAGCATTATACCTATCATTATTATCCACTGACAATATAATTTTTATTAATACTAATAATTAATAATAAAGAATTAAATATGTAAGTATATAATAACAGAATATAATAGTAGGTATACCTAGCTGCTCTTTCTGCTGAGTCAGCACCATGTAAGGCATTCATTGTCTTGTCTGTACCAAATATGGCTCGCAAACTATAAAGAAAAACACATGTGGATAAGTCGACAAAAATGACACAGAGATTCATCATTTGGAAACAATTTAATTCCCTCTCAATTCTCAATTCTTCATTCCACCAAATCATAAAATAAAAATTAGTAACAATAATAAAAATACAAGTGGGGGCCTAAAATAATGCAAAAGCTTGTGATCATTAGGTACCAATACAATCTCAAAAATGTACAGAAACATTAAAATAAAATACAAAACACATAAATTACATTATAATAATAAATAACAGATAAATTACATTTCTTTTAGGCAAATGATAATACAGTATGTAACAGAAATTATGTTTGATTTATTTATTAATTTATTAAATTTTAAACATATGACTTTAATATATACAATCATCATTTTTTGAAATAGTGTTATGCTTGAAACTTGTTTATACTGTTCGCAAAGTTCATTCCATTGATACTGGCCAACCCATCAAACAGTACGTTGTCGCAAAAATAGGGAGCTTTCGATTTGTGCGACGACGCGACGATAGAACGGAATCACTCATGCGTGACCGTCCTACCTGGCGTCCTACTTTCTCTGCATACATAATTTTGGCCAAATTGCGTTCCAGAATCTACTCGACGAGTTGACCGTAAAATTCTATTCAGTGATTAATAGGTGAACATTAAGTTTTGTAGTTCAAAAATATCAGAGACAGCCCCAAGCATGTCTGAAGAGTGGGAGGCATGTGCATTGTAATGACTTCCATTAACAACACGCATAGCATTTTTTTGTAACTTCAATATTACATTTATTGATGTTGGGTGGGCGTTTCCCAGACAATAATACAATAATTAAAATAAGTGATTATGGTAAGTTATGTTGCATTATAAAGGAAATGCTTTAGTCTACCAAAGAAGTCTAATTGTTGGTATAGTCTTTCAGCAAACTTGTTTTATATCTTTTTCCCAATTTAAGTGTTCTTCAATTATTACACCAAGGAATTTTGTATAACAGACTTACTCGATGCAATTTCTATCTATTTGTATATT